CATGCGTGACATGTACAGCTGTGTGTCCCGCTTTTATCAAATTAGTGAAATAGTATGTTATTAAACTTGGGCTTTAAATTTGTGAAACGTAACCGTAGCGCCGTAGGTTAACGTAAGGAATCTCTATCCAAAACTCCCCTGACATAGCAAATTTATTTGGAGCGTGACTGCGCGAAATCTCTGATCATACATAGTAACTGCACGCAAAATAAACCTGTCTGTGCTGCAATCGCACTTTCAAAATACAATACGCATACTACTCGCCGTAGCTGCTTTTCCAACCTTTTTTAAATGAAGTAAGTTTAACGTTTCATTAAGATTATACTTATATACTTGGAGACATAGCTACATATCACTGTAATAATTTTATGGTGCTTATACTCATTCAAGATCGTCCGAGGAGTAGTAGACGAGTGTTAATTAATGCCTAGAATCTGCTAAATTGCATGTTATTTTTACGAGAATCTATTTTTATTTAAGAAGGAACCTGAACACTTGACACTATCAACAATTGTTACCTATAGACTTTCATTTTCCGACGTAACTATCCTTGCTAGGTGTGCTGAAATGATATAATGTTATCTACCTCTAACTCAACATTCTATCTTGCCACCTGGTTAGGTTTGACGACCTATCTATCTTTCATTCTAGTTATCTACCCATTTGTCTCTCCATAATAGTGTTTCGAAATTATATAATCTCTTGCCGTTAGCTGACAGTCTGGTCACATTCTCACGGGCGGTTCTGTCATCCAAATAATAAAGCCTGGACACTCATATCTGTAGTTTTTTTATGCGCGTTTAGAAAACTTATCAGCCCCGGTTATGACTCCCTAAATATATTGACAAACTTTAAATGATGGTGACTACCAGGGCCGTAGCTAGGAATTAATGTATGGGGGGGGGGCAATATAAACGAGCGCCTGAGGCGCTCGCTTCTAGGGGGGTCTGTACGTGGGCATGCCCCCCCCCCCAGAAAACTTTGAAATATAGAAGCTCTGAAATGCCATTTCCAGCCATTTCAGGTAGGTTACATACCTAAAACTCCCCAAACGGTTACGCGAGTATATTCTAATCTTAAGTTCCCATTTTTCTTCACTGGGTTCTTTTTTGGCGGGAGGCAGCTGCCCTCCCTGCCCCCTCCCCCTGCTAGCTACGGCCCTGACTACAAAAGCATAAATAATAGCAATTATGCATTTAATGAAATGCTGCATTATTAATAACACTCACTATTATATCGCCTCGTTAATACGACAACATGATACTTAGATTTGAGAAATTACAGTACACTATACAGGTGTTCATATTACCAGTAGGTACACAAACAAGGAAATTAAATCGTGATGCAGTCGAAGTTAAAGCAATACTGAGATAAGATGTAGATAATAAAAGTGTATATAAGCTTCGTAACAAGACAGCGTAGGCACTCGAGTTAGAGCACCAAAACCAACCATGAAGCTTCTAGTTCTGCTAGCCGTCGTCTGCGCAGCCAGCGCCCATGCCCCGAGGTGGCCACGACTTCCCGAAGGTATGTCTCGTGTTATCAAGGCCGTACGCAGGAAATTTTCTGTAGGGGGCAAAGGTACTTCCCATGCCCCCTGTACCCTAACGTTTTGCAATTTCACGTTTCTTTATTTATAGTGTAACATTTCTTTGATGATTTAAGATAA